CATTTTTCTGTAAAAGACTACATAATAGTGTTGGGCGGCACTAACAATTTCAGTGAACCATGTACTAAAGAGAGAATTGACCTAACTAAACTATTGGATACCGTCAAAAGAACAAATGTTCTGTTCCCAGGAATTCCTCTGAGATATGACACAACATCACAAAACAAAAGCATTTCTGAGTTTAATAACAATCTCATTAACACTTTTTTTGCACCCCACAATAGATGCCCTGGAATCGTTATCATGGAGAAGACTAGGTTTTATAGAAGGGATCATACTCAGCATGGACTTCACTTTAATTACAACGGGAAGCGTAAACTTAGTAATGCCCTAACCAGTTCCATACTTAGGCACAATAGAGAGCGCAGTTCATGCTCCAAACTGGTGAACTTTGTTCCGTCCTTCACCTGCCCAGATACATCAGACTCTCCTGGTATTGAGCCAGCCACATTGCAGTTTAATGGCAATATACAAGACACAAATACCTTCCCTTTGCTGCCTTCTTCTTCAACTTCATTAAAGACAGTCAACCCAAATGCTAAACCACCAAATGCTAAAATCTCAGTTCTTCAGAAAGATATGAGACTTGTGTTTGATCAAATACAAAATGACACCTCTGTAGCACTGGCTCATACAATTTCTGCTGATTTTAACAACCCCCGACACATGTCAGCGGGAGTGGCAGTGGCTTTCAGGGAACGATACGGCAGACCTCAGATCTCTGACTGTGTCACAAAAAATCTAGCTCTCCAGAAGGTGGAAAATGGCCCGTTAGTGTACAGTTTGGTAACTAAAGACTCCTACTGTGGAAAACCAAGAAATCAGGACTATGATGCAGCCTTCAGTGACCTGGAACTAGATTTCAAAAGAAATGGTTTAAAAAAGTTATTTTGCTCTGCAATGGGTTGCGTTAGGGATATGATTGAGCCTCGTCACTTCATTAAAAACCTAGTAAGATTTCATTTTGCTACTGGTGCTGAGGTCTGCATAGTTTCTTATGACCAAAAAGCACAAAGAACTCTTTGGAGGGGGCGGTCACATGAAGCGTTTGTCACAGCATTACATAATGAAATCTCAAATCAATTTGAAGAATGGCAAAGACCAACGGAGGAACACAATGCAGCTAACGTCTTGAATGTTGCAGCAGCGAAAACGATGATGCAGCCTGAAGCATCGATGCAGCCCAACAAACCACTAGAAAGTGTATTGTGCAGTGCAAAAAGTCAGTCTGGTGAAGTGAGTGTAGATATGGAGAGTGAAGATGAAGATGAGTCCCCTGTACATATTAATTCCATGGTATTTGAGAGTGAAATTGTAAATAGTAGTCTTAGGAATAATACAGAATGTTTTTTAGAGAAGTAGTTCAGGTTGAGGAGTCCAAGAAAAAATATGAGTTAGGAAAGAATCTTGATGACAGTTTTGTTTTGTTACATTTTAATATCCAGGGCTTCTTAAATAATTATTTAGATTTAGTTTTCTTCCTGGAAAGTCAACAAAGAAAGGTTCAGGTAATATCTTTAAATGAACATTGGCTAAATTCAACATGTATAAATTTATTAAACAGTTTAGATGATTTTAAAATTGCTGATTTTTATGCTAGAGTTGATCAATCGAGAGGAGGCTCATGTTTAATGATAGATAAAAATGTAAGTTTCAAAATTAGAAATGACTTGAAATTTCTGAATGAACCATATTGTTTTGAAGGGTCATTTATAGAAGTTAAGGAGTGGAATTCGGTCTTTGTATCAATATATAGAATTCCTGGAGATAATTTTGATAAAATATTTTTAGAAAAATTTGAGTTATTACTCGACAAATTGGCATTGGAGGCAAAATCTAAAAATGTTTTTATATCTTCTGACTTAAATATTAATCTGTTATCTGACAAAGCTAGTACCTGTAAAGTTTTTGAAATCTGTGATTGTTTTGGATTTGTACCAAATGTATTTATACCTACAAGAGTAACTAAAAATTCTAGTACTTGCATTGACAATATATTTTCTAACCTCGGAGCTAAGAATACTAGTAGCTTAGTTGTAGACATCGGTGCATCAGACCATAAAGTATTGATATTGTCATTTGAGAAAAGGTCTTCTCCAATACTTAGATGTAAAAACAAAGAACTAACTCGTAAATTTACAGAACAAAATTTAAAAACTTTCGAAATGGCTTTAAAGAATGCACATTATGATATTAACACACCAAATGTAAATACAAACTACAACAACTTTCTTAATACATTTCTAAATTTATTTAATGAGGTTTTTCCAAAAACAGTTAATACAAGATCAAATAAAACACAAAAAAGGAAAAATTGGATTACTTTAGGAATCAAAATTTCAGCAGAAAATAAAAGAAAATTGCACCAGGAATCTAAATGGAATAGAAACCCACAATTTTTAACTTACTACAACAATTACAGGAAAACTTTCAAAAAAGTCGTTGCATTAGCTAAATTAAAGGCAAATGATGATTTTATTAAAAGGTCCAAAAATAAAAGTAAAGCATCTTGGTCAGTCGTAAAACAAGAAATTGGATTAAATAGAAAAAACTCGGACACACCGGTTGAGATCCAATTGAATGATGGAAACGACCAATATGGTAGTGCATTGGCAATAGCAAATAAATTTAACAATTTTTTTATAAATGTTTCACAAATTGCTAACCAAATGACAGATAAAGATAAATCCATTCAGCTACTAAACAATAGTCAACATTTAATTAGACTTCAAAATTCTGCTTTACAATTTAAATTTAGGAAAATTTCAGTTCAGGATCTAAGAAAAGTTTTTACCAGTCTTAGCAATACTAAATCTTCAGGTTGGGACGAAATTCCCCCCTTTGTTATTAGTAGAGTTTTTAAACTTATTGAACAACCTCTCTGCACACTAGTGAATCAGTCCCTTGAGGAAGGAATTTTCCCTGAAAAACTTAAATATGCAGAGATAAAACCTCTTTTTAAAAAGGGTGATGTTAACAATCCTTCTGACTACCGACCAGTTGCTCTTTTGCCCTGTTTTTCCAAAGTTTTTGAAAAAATTGTGAAAACTCAACTTACAGATTATTTGGAACAAAATAATTTACTAAATCCATCTCAGTTTGGTTTCCGCTCAAAATCCAGTACTGAAAAGGCTATTACCAGGATGATTAACTGCATTGCGGAGGCCTTGGACGGGTCGCAGCGCACAATAGGTGTGCTGTGTGACCTGTCCAAGGCTTTTGACTGTGTTGATCATGATATATTGCTAGAAAAATTAAGTAGACATGGAATAAAAAATGTGGAATTAAAATGGTTCATTTCATATTTAAAAAGCCGTAAACAAAGAATTATATTACAGAAATGCCAAACCAAATATAAGTCAGAGTGGGGTTACACACCCTACGGAGTTCCTCAAGGTTCCATTCTTGGACCTTGTTTATTTTTAATTTATGTAAATGATTTATGTAATGTTACAAAAATGCATACTTTTCAATATGCAGATGATACTGCTTTAATCTGCACCGAACAAAAAACATTGGATTTTAAGCAAGACTTAATTACTAATGAGTTTCAACTCCTCGGGGACTGGTTCACAGTAAATGGTCTATCTATGAATGTGTCAAAGACACAACTAATTCACTTTTCAGTTGCTAATGAGAATAGAGACATTGTTGTAAATTCAAACCAAACATCAATATATTCTCAAAACTCAGTTAATTACCTTGGAATTGATATAGATTGGCAACTTAATTGGCAAACAAACATTAAGAATCTATCAAAGAGACTCAGATCAGCTATACTTGTTCTTCGGGTAATTCGACATACTACAAATTTAGACACACAATTAGCAGTATACCACGCTTATTTTTCTTCCATTATGAATTACGGTTTAACGGTATGGGGTTCTTCTAGTCATGCCGAACAAATTTTTATCCTCCAAAAAAGAGCAGTTAGAGTCTTAGCGAAAGTGTCTCGAATTACTCACAGTAAAGAGTTTTTCATTCAGTTTAAAATTCTTACTTTGTATAGTTCTTATATCTTTAAACTAGCTTTAATGGTTAAAAGTGATTTTGACACATTCATGGAAGATCAACATGCCCATCCTCACAACACTAGATTTAAAAACAATATAAAACCAGTTCAACACAGACTTAAAGTATTCCATTTATCTCCTCAGTACATGGGCCCAAAAATATATAACAAATTACCTTCTTCAATTAGGGACACTGATTCATTCCCTAAATTCAAAAAGAAGTTAAAAAACTTTCTTTTGGAGAAGGCCTTCTTCTCATTGGAGGAATATATGGAAGCTATGTAGATGTTAAGGCTCAGCAATGAAATTTATTTTAGAATAATTTTAGTATAATAGAGACTATAAAATATTGTAACAATGACGAATCACCTGTCTGAATATGATGTTATGTGATTATTGGAAAATAAATAAATAAATAAATAAACACAGTTCTCTAGTTTGGAAAATGTAAACAAAGCGTTGCTAAGAACATAATGATAACTTATAACAAGCAAAAACATTTTTTTTTTCATTTTTAAGCGAGTTGGGGCCCCCTTGAGCCGGGGGCCCTCCGCGATCGTGGACCTAGCCAGTCCGGGCCTGGCTCCATGCGCGCGCAGTCCGTACAATTCAGGTGTTATGTGTAATATTTCTTTATAGGGAAATTCGCTAACAGGTTAAAACACAAATAAGTAAGTTTAAATTTAAATTATTTTGTCTATGGACCTACAACAGTATCTAAATGTTTAGGCAAGATACTTAATAAATTTATATTACCTACATATTGTGAGGGGGGGGGGGGCGAGCTTGATTGGTCCTGGGCTCAAATCCCCCCAAAGTCACCAATTTATTAAATCTATAAGTGATAATGCCGCAACCCCTACACCTAGCCTGGCTAGAGCCTAATGCCCTATATAAATCTATACACTACACTATAGATTTATATAGGGCATGCCTAGGTTGATTAGCATCACACTTGTGTCTTACATTACGTTCTGAATGTTGCAGTTATCATGGGCTGACATATTGTTTGCCGCTCTGACAGAGTATGTCAGTTACGCAGTCGATGTCCAGGATGTAACAGATGGTTATCCCAACCTCAAGGCTCTCAGGGACAAGGTGTACAGTTTGCCTCAAATCAAAAAGTACTTGGCAAAACGGCCTCAAACTACATTCTAAAGAAACACAAATGTGTTACTTGCGATGTTATAATACCTTTACTGGTTCTTTGTTACTGTTAATGCTTTAAGAATGATTTTAAACTACAGTATTGTATACTAATTTGAAAATGTGTAATTAAAATCAAAATGTAAAAGAGGGTAACTAATTTCCTTGATCTTACATCTAAAATACTATTTACTGAGTGTTAGGGTAACAGTTATTTTAAATTTGAATTTGTATTGTTACAATTTCTTCTGAAAACAACAGTAGGTATAAGTAGCAGAGATAACATTTGCAAGAATTTATAAAGTGGGAGTCTGTATAAAATAATTCATATATTATTATTACCATGAACCAGAGATGTAGACCAGAGATTTTTGAGCATCTGAAAAGTAAATGTAGCCACAAGGTTCTAGAATATCTTGTAAATACAAGCCAGCTTCTCACAAATTTAACTTTCTAGAAAACATTACTGACAATGATTCACATTGTGACTTGTTATTAGCCAAGCGCACTGGCAACACACTTGGCATGGCAGTACTAATGCTACTGTGCACAAGGTGTAGATTACAGGCTCCTCCTAGAACAGCCCATGCTTTGATAAGTTTTGACTTCAAAGAGTCAAAGTCACAATATAATCACTAACTTAATAATATTCACCCCTTAACCCTGTAATTTGTAATGACTTCCAATATAATTAGTTTAGGTTTTTGGTTTTGTGCTGTATATGGCATACGTGTATTTCAACATCATATATAACATTTTGATTTTAACCAAAGAAAAATCCAAATAGGAAAAATCAGCCTCCTCCTCCTATACATATGTATAAACAAGTAAACAGGTGTTGTGTGCAATCCCTTTCAAACTCACTAATGCCGTAATCTTTACTTTAATACTTTACATTTCAACTTCCACCCAAGCCCCTCTGATCAGCTAAGCCAAACATTAGTAAGCTTGATATGGATTGCTCACTTACGGGAATTGAACCCAAGCATAAAGACACTCGTCAGTGCAGTGCCTTGGCCAACTGAGCTACCATGTCACTGTCCGCAGACCGGGACAAGTGCTCTTGTAAGTGCACGTCAAAACTAACACTTGCAGTTGAGGTTTGTCAAACTATTTATGCACCAGGGGTTTAGCAGTACAGCTACCTGGCCATAAAATGCTGGCTTGAAGGTCTCGTTATGTTTCACGTTTGTTTTTATAAGTTAGGACAGAGAATTGAATATATTAGTCAAACAATTATTCCAAATAAAGTTAAGTTACATCTAAAATTTGTGTAATCATAAAACCATATACACGTTGTAAAGTTGATTTTTACTGGTCTAAAACTATTTTAATGTTGTTGAGGAATGTTATTCGGTATTTGTGTATTTTTGCGTCATGATGAAAAGTATTGTTTATAACTCGTACCTAAAGCTATTTTCCAGTTTTTGCTGCATTGTTCCTGTCCTCCGCTATGCCTTGTACGTGATATTTGGTTTTCCTGGTTTTGCCTCACATATAAAACTTGAGCGCACGCTAGAAAATGCCACTTTCGGTCCTAGTAATGAGATACCGGTATATATATTTCTATTTAATAAAAAGTTTATTCATATAATCTAAATTTATGATTTTTGTTTTTTTAATGCTAACCTATATTATTATTATAGTTATATTATGTATTATTATTATTAGTATTATCTAAATAATATACAGCGGCATATGTAACTAAGCGATACAAATTACTTATATAATCTTGAGTAAATTTCAAAAAACTATCTCTCTGGAAAAAGATTAGATGTAGAGGATAGTGAAATGGAAACCAACACCTATGAATCATAAAATAAAAGACTGTATTTAATATAAACAAAAATACATATTATACAAAACCTTTACAATGTGGAACAATTACAAAAACAAATATCACTTGTATGTAACATAATTATATTGCTGTACATTTCTAATAACTATTTATACACTAAGTATCACAGAAAAGAAACTGGAGTGTATACACAAATGCATTCGATTATTTACAAAATAGGCACCTCTAATGTACTTGTGAAAAAGTGAAGTATAAATCTATTAATTCTAAACTATTCATTTTTATGGCATTATTTGATCAGAATAACTAACAATTAGAGCATCAAAGTTTATGGCTTATAAATATAAGTTTTCTTTATTCAAAAAAAGCTATTCACTCCTTATTGACGATAAAATGTTGACAAAAATTAGAAATAAATGCTTGTTGGAATATACATTTTTAAACAAAAACAAATGAAAACAGTAGGGTAAATGTAAAACATGATAAAAATCTATTGACAATATCTGATCCAAACAAAACCTTTAGGACAATGGAATAAATATACATCTGTAAATAACTAAAGTGAAACAAACAAAATAATGTTGCTTGGAATAAATGTCATTGAAGATTAAATGGATTACAGTAGCCAAGATATAAATTGCTACCCAACAGAGTTTGCCAAGTTTTATCTAGGTAAATAAAAGTGATTGTTGTACAAACTTCATTTCTGTACTTCATTGATTTGATTTAAGTTTTATAAGCACCAGTTGATTGGATTGAGAAACTTGCAGCTTAAAACCCTCTTTCAGAATAAGAGAATTTTGTTTGAATCCATTAATGGACAGAAAAAAAGAAATCTAAAAGAAAAATTAATAAGGCTACTGTATATCCCTAAACTCTTAACTTAGGAGTTGGACAAATTTGTGTTTACTGTTCAATGTACCAATTATAACTGTACATATAAAGATGTTAAGGACTTGTGCTTGTTTGACATAATAATATATAACTTTTCTTATTTGAGCAATTCTTTTAAGTTTCAACATTTAAAGGTTCAGTAGCCTATACCAGCAGGAAAAAAACGACTAGACAACAAGTTTTCTTTCTTTTTTTTAAGTTGAGAAAGATATTTTTTATCTAAAAGAGGGATAGTCAATGTTGTAATAATTATTGAAATAATATTAGAACATTTTGTTCAAAATGATTTTAAATGAGATAAAATTAAATGAATCACTCTAGAAGATCTAATAAAGTTAGTTGTCAACGGAACAGAAGTGTCTTAATTTGCTACAATAACATTAAATTGGAATCTCAACATAGAATAAGACGGTAAGATAATAAGTTTAAACTAAATTGGAAATTAATTATTGTAGACTATTTTACAAGGTTCTCCTTTAATTCACTTTTACAAAAATACTTAAAAACACAAACATGAAATAGATAGTTTTATATGTACCGTATTTGTGCCTACAAAGATATTATTCTAAGAGTGATGATGGTTTAAGATTCTCTGAGGCAACCTTAAATTATTATGTTTAAATTATTATCTGAAATTAAATCACAAACCAAATGCGTTAAAAGGACATTTGAAAACCAACTGCTTGTATTTTTTTTGTTCACATCTAAGTTAATAACAGAAGTTAACAATAGAACTCACATATTAACATAGACTATGTTATAGGTAAGGTAGCTGTCTTTTGCCTAGTTTATTTGTATCAAGGATTCTAAAAAACAGGTTTGCAACTAGTCAAACCCATCCTTGCCTCCCTCCTATGTGTTACGGATATTTTGTTATTTAATTTGTTTTCATGTTTGTTTGAAGACAACTCCTTTAGTAGAGAGGTGTGAATACTGCAATAATTATATATATATATCTAGATTACCTGTATCTTCATTAAAATGCAATTTATTTATTTATTTATTTTTTTCACATCTGATATTTGATAGGATTGTTTCATTAGTCTTGTCATGACAAACTAAAGTATTTATTTACTACATCATTATTAAAATTTTACTAGGTCAATGCTGAACAAGTGGGTTGTATAACTTAAGCTTTGATGGAATGGAATAGGTGAGATGCCATGTGTAGCTTTGTTTGTGGCCAAGACAATGTAATTCTTTAGCTATGGCCAATAATCAGAACTGTTTGATGCACTGGAACAGTGGGATTTGTTGGTTTTTTATTAGCAATTAATTATATTTCTTGGTGAAAAAAGATATCATAGTCATACTCAACACACCACAAAAAATTCAACACAAAATAATAATTTAAAAGATGACAGACGGCAGCTATGTTGAGGTCTGTGCTATAACTTTTAAGATAAGATACTGTACCGGCTCAGGCTCACACCTTGCTTTACTGGAGACATTGCAAAAATAGGCCTGAGACCTAGGTGACGGGCAAATACGAGGTTAAAAGAGGCCACCAACCTTTTAATAACAAAGTTTCTAATGAAAATCAATTTCTCATAGCAAACAGAATTTGCACACAATAAAGCTAAACAAGGTATCTCACTCCATTCCGCACTTACTCTTTAATACTTGACTTTAATAATCTTCACTGCTATAACACACAATCACACATAGGTCGCTACATTAAAGAATTTATTGAATTAATGTGATGTTAGATATACACATGTACATACGTGAGGTTTGTGTTATTTTAGCAAACTGAACTGAACTAGGTTTAAGTAAACAGTGCAATTCTGGGCTAGGGGAGAGATGAAATGGATACATTTCTTTAAGTTATTGTTCAGATCAATGTTTCCAAAAGATTCCTTCATTTTTTTATATAGAATTTAAATTGATTTAAGAAAAAATATTGTATATTTTTTACTAACATAAGTGATTTCTACTCTATTCCTAATCAATATGCAGAGCTACAATTTAGTATTCGTTAGGGTAAAAATAAAATTTGTTCCAAAATTTAGTAAAAATTTAAGCTTAGCAAAACAATATTCAAACCATCAAGTAGATAATAAAATAAAGGCAAGTTCATACTGTATAGTAAACATGTAAAATAACTCAAAAGATAACACAAGTAATTATTACTATTTTGATTTCCTGAGTTACATAGGCTGAATTTGATCAAGTCAAAAACTCTCTTGTGGATACGCTCTCAGTTGTTTGTGTACGCTCTCAATAACAAGGATCTGTCTCCTTTAGGGGTAAAAATCATAGGATGTTAGGAACCCAAAACATGATTGCCATTTGATGAAATTAAAAATATTATAGAATGACAATTAATGGTTTAGTTTGATGAGCATTCAAAATATTCTGATCTATGCTGATATTAACTTACCAATAACTTAATAAAATTATCTTATTTTCCAACCCACACATCAAAAGAACACCCTAACTTAGAACAAATGTGCCTACAAAGTCAATATTCAAAGAATAAACTAAACAATATGATTCTACAATTAGGGGTGGTACAAAATGTGTAGTAAAATTTAAACAAAAATAGATTGATTTTTTTACTATTTCATGTGACCTCAATGATTCTTGTAGGTGATAAGTTAATATCAACATAGCAATTATTTTACACAGGATTAAAACACAACAATGATGGTAATGAGGAGAAAGCATTTGGCACAAGTGAAATGTAAACAAGTAGGTAGATAGAAGAGTAAATATAAACATTGCTGAGCATTGAATCTTGAACACCTCTTAAGGAACCTACAATAATACACTAGGCTTGATATACGATTTAGTAATCCTATATATTAATAGGCAAGCATGTTTTTTGAAAACCTTTTTTCTCAGCTCGAGTACATCGCATTTAAAATCTACAAATACTGTTAGAAAGATATTTTCCTGTAGATGTGCAGAATCCCTTTATAAATTAAAATAGGCTCAAAAACAAGCACGGAAAATAAATTGAAAATAAAACAAAATAACATGGGTGTTATGGGTTGCCATGCTGGTGACGAAATATAAACAGAAAATCAAAAGAAATGGACGACCACTAGTAAACATAATAAATACATTTAGAAACGGTAAAATAGGAAAGCTTTAGTAAACTTGAATTCATTAAAACAAAAGTTAAATTGGATAAATTGTGTATATTTAACATTTGTATAGTTTTATTTCTTGATGTAAAAATCATTTTTATATAGGTAGATGGGTAAGGCAATAGACCACTGATTACTAAGAGTTATATCATTTGTTTGTTGATATAAGTAAATGGGCAAACCACCCAAAACAACTTTTCCACTGAGCTTTTCCAAAACAACCTGATGTATGGAGTAAATTTGAATTTTAATGCTAAGCATAAAAACAAGATGGGAATCCTTTTGGGTGCTCATTTTTAAAGGAAAACAAAGAACAAAATTTACGTTTTGGAAATTATTAAAAAGTATTTTATATGTATATTATATTTACAACCTTGGCTCAAAAAAGGCTTTTTTAGGTCCTTGTGATGAAAGGTACTGGGAAACATAAATGATTTGCCAAGTGCCTTCTCCTCGGGTTGAGCTATTGTCAGACAAGATCACCGAGTTCTGCCTCGAGTGAGTCACACTCGGCGAGTGCCTCTCTGTAGACACTAGAGTGGTCATCGATGCTGTCGAAGTACTCAGTGTCACCGCTAGAGTTGCGCCACAGTCGTGACGGCAATGAACGGTCCAGCTCCTGGTCCTCAGAGTTGAGTGAATCTGGGTACTCGGCCAGCTATAACACACACACTCTCAATTCACACACTACAAACAAAACGATGGAGGGTTACTGTCTACACCCCGGGCCATGGAACAAACAGACAATTGATGATACAGTACTTGTAGTGGCAAATGTGTGATAAGCCTTCTTTATACAACCGAACCACATAGATGACTGTTGAGAACTCTTAAACCAAGAATTACGGCCACATAAAATTTAAAGATATCAGCAATTTTGAAAGTTAAATGTATGTTCCTATCATTTGAGTCAATCACTTATTATAATCTAAGTGCGTTATCTATAATACCATAAACAAATTCATTTTAAATAGGCCTATAAAAAAAAATTGGGAAGATTATTTTTTGAAGGGTGAGGTTATATTTTTATGGGGTATGTAAAGTTTGCTTTATTTTAGAGGATTACATGATTAGTTGTCATTAACAACTAATCCTTTTTAATCTGTGGTAGGCTAACTAATCCAGGTTGTCTATTGCTTGTGGTAAAAGTTAAACATTTATATATAATAAATATTTATATTATTAAAGAATGCTCAAAAGGTCATAACTGAAGAAGACTACCTATTTGAATTTGATTCTAAAAATTAAAAACTGCAGTTCCATAAAATATTGATTTCTTTTTTTGACAGATTTATGAGCCACTGTCAACTCTTAAGGCATCAATAAGATTTACAAAGGCTTTAGATGCGATAGTTAATTAAGTAAGGTATAAACATAAAAAATTTATTATTTTTTGCTTGACAAATTAAAATTTGTTTATATGCAATTGTAGCCTACTTACTTCCCTCTGAAACACAAATAACTCATGTCTCATGAATGAACCGCTATCAGAATTATTAAAGGATGCACTGTTTCCAAAACAAATCTTTGTTAACAACTAATAATTACATCCACTATGCTAATCTTAGCTTTAGTTTCTAAAAATACATAAAATAAAAGTTTTGACTACAAGGCATCATTGGCAAGTTCATCACGTTATTATTTTTATTACAAACTAACAATTCATTTGTAAAATCTATGCACACTATCATATGCCTTACTGTGAGTAATACAGCTTAGTAATCAGTATGTAAATACTGCAACTTCTGAGAAACTAACTACTCAATAGTCATACTTCAACTAATTTTAAAATACATACTTTTAAATGGGAACAGGAAAGAACCAAGTTGGGGAGGAGGGGTATGTTAAAAAATTATTAACTTTACCAAAATAAATTTGGTTGTGTTAGTAAATCTACACAGTTTTAGCAAATTTCCCATTTAGGGAATACGCAATTTTTACTTTTGATATTTAGTAAATTAGTTATGAAACAAAGGTGTTAGTTTGGATCATGCTCATGCAAATCATGTTTCAAGTCTTGAAGTTAGTTTTGCCCCAAGCCAGCGGGTCTCATGCTTTTCTGGTGAAATCATTACCTGCAGTTTTTAATTTTTCTACAAGTCAAAACCTCTATTGAAAGCATTTTGTAAAATACAAACTCTAATAATTTATTATTTACTGTTGTCATGACTATAATTTTAAAACTCCACAATTAACTGTAATTCCTAGGAATGTAATGACCACAGATTTTGATGAAATATTAATAAACTAAGTATTTTTTGGCAAAAATAATTTTGTGATGTTTCACTTCAACCTGTAAATATTTATTAAATCAAATTATGACTACATAAATTATAATGATTCTGTTGTATATTTCTGTTGCATCAATACAAGTTACAGACCGCACCCAAAATATTAAGACGGTTTGAAATAAATAAATATATATTATATATCTTAAGTTTATATATTTCTGTATGTTGTATTCCTGCAATGGTAATGCACAGTTGAAAAACTAAATTCTGTGATAAAAAGGGTTCTTTACAAACTTGGGAAAATAATGAACACTGTTAATTTGTGAAATAGAAATTGTGTTTTGAATAGGCAGTAATGACTCAACCATATATAAAGTTCATACTTTGTCCAGTGTGAGACTGAATAGGACCCTCCAACTGGCAATAGTTGCGGTAGGTGGTTTCTGTAGTGGCAGCGACTATAATAGTTGTGTTTTGCAAGGTTAAATGCTTAAAAACTATTGTAAAATGAAATAATCTTTATACTTTTAGAAAGATAAGATTCTAAACTAGTACTTTGTTACATAGATGATCTTTATCTTACAATTAGATCACTGTAATTAAGTGACCGAAAAACACACTCACTAAAGTGACCGAACATTTCAGTTGCATATCAGTTGCACCATTTACGTGTCCCAATACTGCCAAACATGGTTTTAAAATATATATATATATATTTAATAACATACGGGTAATTTAATAACACGTACGATGCTAATCAAGAAGTTATTCAATATAATATATATAACAAAGGATATTTTTTGTCTACAAAGAAACGAGTGGTGCCACTGCAATAAGGAAGAATTTTCCTATATTAAGGTGCAAAAATAGTTTTGATATAATTACATAATGATCTCACACAACAAAAACAAATCAAGCAATTTTTACGTGTTTGTGAAGTGGCAGTTGTAAAACACGTTTTATTCACTGAAATATATGATATATTAAATAGATGATAATATGATAAATTATCTCATTGTCTATGAAATTCCTGCCTTGTGGTATTTAATTGTTTTAGATTGCACCACTGGTGCTGAAGTTATCAGCTGTTATTCTTCTGAATAATTGTCTGACTTACTAACCTCAATGTCTGCTGACCAACAACTAACAAGTCAAGTTTTGGGGTGATTTTACTTTATCAGTTTACATCGTGATTATAAGTTGTAAATTTGTTAATGTTTATTTCTATATTATTTATTGTGCCTTGACTGAAATCTGACAATACTTCTAGAAAATTGAGACACCATTTTTAGCCAGTTTTTGTGAACTTTAGTGAATGTTTAACAACGAATAGCGAGTGTGACTATCACTTTGAATCATATTTATTAGTTGTAAATTTGTACATATTTAGTTTGTAAACTGTTTCTTGTGGAAAGACTTATAAAACTTGAGGTTTGGGACATTACATTTAGCCCGTTTTTGAAACATTTTGTCATAATGTACAAACTATTTGATCGCCACGTGAAAAAGGCGCAGCAGTATTTAATAATAAACACTATAAAATATTTATTTAACTTTATTTGCCTTTATAATTATTATATTTATAACTATATATATTTATGTAGGGGAATACATTTTCTTTCATTTTATATAGTTGGTATGTGGGTTTTATGCGTTTTAAAAATAATACAGTATACATGTGTGAATAACAAAATGTTTTTCTAGAAAGATATAAACATTTATAAAAGTCATTTATATTATTATTTATTGTAATGATCATTTTCCATTAGCTAATCTTACTTAATTTGATCTCCAATGTTATTGCCTTTACAAAAATGTGTTCTTTTTTCAACATTTATCGATGATAACACATTTATTTGGTTTTTATTTAAAATTTGTAATGCAAAATCATGAAACTTGGCCATTTTAGTGTTTTTGGGTCATAACTTTGTAAAAATAAATAGTAATTGAAATCTTTTTACATTTCAATGCAGGGAATTTTACATGATTTTGGTTCATGCAGCAAAGTTTTACTTTCAAAATTTCAAAATTTTCTACCTATGTCAATATTTACTGTTCTAAATATTTAGTCTCTTGCTATTTTTAAATTCTTCATTTTACTTCATTTCATTTTACGAACAATTCAAGTATACGGAAAAAAACTTGAGGAACCTTATGTTGGAAATTAATAATTTAAGTAAAAAAGTGTTGGAAATTAATTTATTGAGTAACTATAGTACGTTGCGTAACATATACATTAGTAGGTCTACACGGAAGTTATTCAATGCTTTTTAGGGAAATTTTTTTTTGAGCTGTGCGTGGATAGCGGATAGCCGTATCCACTGAGTGTTTATTGAAAAATTGATTTTAAGGGGCTGTAAAATTACTGTATTGATCAGTAGACCTACAGGACAGAAAACATACTACTATAACCCAGAATGCTGACCACGTGGAGCTTTGCCTGTCAATTCGTAAGCAGCGCCACCAGCATACAATGCCTACGAATTGACAGGCGCTCCACGCGGTCAGCATTCTGAGTTATAGTAGTATGTTTTATGTACCTACAGTGTGAACAATTGTTGAGACACTTCAGTCACAACCAAATATCCTTGATTGACAGTCATTGATAGTCAAATCAATAATGTAAAAAGAAACCTTCATTTCTTGTTATATGTTTAAATCAGATACAGATATTAAAGAACTTATTAACTAGTTGGAAAATCTGAGCAATATAGTTGGGAAATTTTAATAATATAATTAGGAAATCCGTGTAAAATTGTTTGGAAATCCATGCAATATCATTGGGAAATCCGCATAAAATAGTTGGGAAACTCAAAGTGTCCCCCCCCCCCTAATATTCTTTTCGTGTGACGCCCCTGATTTAGTTTATATGCATTTTCAAAAATATGACTAAAAAATTGCCAAAAATGCCTTGCCACTACAGAGTTTGCCCATTGCCAGTTGGAGGGTTAATAAATACCACATAGATGTACAAATAAACTTAATTATTAGTAAAATAAGCAAAAATGAAGAAAAACCAGCAAACACTATTACTTTCGACTAGTTAACCTTTGTTCAAGCCCTCCCTATCAAAGATACCACAACACCAATCACAGCAAATAAAAGATAATACAGCAAATTAACCAAAATAAAATGAAAATCCACTTACAAATTATGAAAAGTGGTGGAAGTGGCTCCTGGTTATGTTCCGATGTTGACCATCGTCCAAGATCGGGTAAATGAAAGGGAATGAGAGGGGAGGGTTGTGTTACCTGCGGAACTGTTAAAATGAAACTGATAAGAAGCAAATAAAGCAAATCGCTAAGCAATAATACTCGGCCCACAAAAACAGTGCCCGATTAAGAAGGCCCTGACATTCGAAGCCAGTTACTCCAAAAAGACAATTTAGAAGGGCGTACCTTAGACTCGTTATCAGAGTTAATAATCCTGTCTCTCGAGGGGATCTTCCTGGGAGCAGGAGAGGAGGGAGGGTCTCGACGCATGGAGGGGATGGAATTGGTTGAGGAAAAACTACCGTCTTGGTTGGAGGTTTTGCGAACTCGTCTCCCTACACTGGAGGGTGTGTGAACACTCTCCCTACTGGAAGGTCTGGGAGATTCACGTTTGTTGGTGTCCTTCATACTCCTGGTGACCGGGTCCCAGTTCTTCTCCTTCTTATCTTTGCCGACTTTGGGCGGAGCGATGGATTTGGGAGTGGTTTTCCCCGACGGAGGCTTTGGTGCCGTGTAGGACTTGAGAGGTATCTTGCTAGGAGGTCTCTTGCGGGGACTATCGTGGTGAGCTGACTCTGTGCTGCTGCTGTTGTCTTGTGGTGGGGGCAGAGGTAGAGTCATGCGGGGCAGTAGAGGTGCGGGTGGAGACTCATGGCTAGGCGGGGGGAGTGTGTGGCTATGTGTCAAGTCACCACACAACTTGGCTGCCTGTAGACGTTCCAGCAACCTCACTCTAGCCCTCGTCCCCTCCAGCTCTATACTCTTCTCCTCCAGCTACAAAAAAAAAAAAAAACATCCATAAAGAAGCCAGTTTCAAATAACTACAAATACAACCTTTACACAAGCCACTATTTAATGTTTTGTTACCCATAACAAATTATGGATGTGGACACTTTATGAACTCAACGCTTACTCCATGTTATTGCATAAATCAAAAAAAAAAATCATAAATGTTAAAATTAGTAAAAAAATCTATAACCAACTCATATTAATATCATCCAAACAGTTAAACAGAAAATGGTGGTATCTTTATTGGTCTTTCTTGTATTGGTATGAACCTAAACAAAACACTATGAAATGAAAGTTCCAGTGCTTTTAAGTAGGCTACCCTATCTAGAACAACAAAAAGCTTAGGCTTTTAGTGAGTGGGACTAAAATGTTATCTTCAAAACAATTAAACAGAAAATGGTGGTACTGTATCTTGATTGATCTATCTTGTATTGGTATGAACCTAAACAAAACACCGTAAAATGATACCCCCGCCGCAGCAAACCTGCAGACAAAGCGAATTTCAACTTGTCTGATTACATTTTTACTAAAATATTTCCATAAATAAGACTTTTTTTTCAATTTAACAAACATTAGATTTAACGAGTACTTAGGTTTGCTGCTACGGGGAAGGTAAAACATGTTTTTTGACCATATGTCAATAGTATAGGATGAAATAAATTTCCCCAATTTTTTTTTCAAAATATACCCATAAACAAGTAAACTACAACAGTTTTAATTTTCTTCATAAGAATAACATGGGAATTTTAAATTACACTTTTTTTATTTTCTCTCTGACCATTAGGCATAAAAGCACTTTAATATACTAAGTTATTTCCCTACAAAATGGTTTAGAAAGTAATCACAGTTTTGTGTTTTTAGGGTCAAAAATGGGAAAACGCCATTTTTATCCCATAAAACCCCCATTCCCATGGTCCGATTTTGCTGTTTCAGGAACTCGTTCAAATAATAAACATAGGTTTACACTGTTCTACCAAATTTAATCAAAATGGGATCATTTTTGCACGAGTTATCGCGCTAACGGACACGCATATATATATATGAATTTGAACGGATGGTGATTTTGGCCTCTGGGGACCTCCAAACAAAAAAGTAAATCGGTCCTGGGTCTAGATCTTACCATGAGACTTACAGTATTTTTAGCTTATTCCCTATATGGGAAATTTGCTAAAAAGTTCCAGCGCTTTTAAGTACCCTATCTAGAACAAAAAACAAGCTTAGGCACTGAGTGGGTTACCTGGAAACGCAAGTCCTCGTTTTCCTCTTTGGTACGGTCCAACTGTAGAGACATGTTCTGGTGGGAGGAGGACAGCTGCTTCAACTTATGTCTGATCACCTGCAAAAAACCACCATATATACTACCAACTTTTCCACTCAAATGGATGAAACATAACTGGATCGAGTTTATAAAATAATATCCTAAATGGCTATCTTCACCATGTATACCCAGTAGCACAGTCAATGAAGATATAAATAAGGCAGATGTCGGAAGTGATTCTGGGAAAGCTGGATTTTTCTTTGCTGTTAGACCATGTTTAAATGAGCATTTTCCCAAAAGTCCCCACTCCTCCCCCTTGTGCTTTCCTCTCACCCCCCCCCCTTTTAAGATAAATTTACAGTATCTTAGAAACTGTGCTATAACTTTAAAACTGTTAAAAAATGTCGTCTATTGTTAATCCTTTTTGCGATAAAATTTTTAACAAAAAGTGTATTTAACATGTTATCTTAAATAACTTGTTTATAATTGATTTTCCTTTATAATAATAGGAGTAAAATGACTACACAGTATGGTTTCTAAAGTCCATAGTGGAAGTGATGTTTATTTACAACAAATTAATAAACATAGCAATCACATGGCATATAATTAACACATGACAGCTGCTTCTAACTTAGTACCAAGAAGGCAATGAGGAACAAGATTATAAATAAATTCCAACACCCCTCCTTAATCTTGATCCTTCATTGGGGTAAGACCAAGGTCGGCCATAAAACCATCATGCTTGATTTTGCCAAGTGATTTTGTCAAAATGTCCGCTACCATCTTGGAAGTTGGAACGTAATTCAGCACAACTAGTTTTCTTCTGACAAATAACTGTTTACGAATTATATGTTTGGTCTTGGTATTCACGGTTCTCTTCTGCAAAATCTTCATTGCTGGCATGTTATCCCAATGCAAATTTACATGCTCAAAATGTTTCTGAGCCATTGCTACAAACTCTGACTCTGTTGAGGAATCAGGCATACATCTCTGTTTCTTACTTCCCCAAGACACAGGTCCTTCACTCAGTTTAAAAACATGTCCCGTACAACTTTTCCCATCGAAGTAGTTTCCATGACTGGCATCAACAAAACCATGTAGAGGTTCTTCATCAGCTTGCTCCTCCACAGCATGCTTCCACAAATTCTTATTCGGATCTTCTATTGCCTCTTGATAACTACTTGGCTCTAGATCCTCACAGGTAACCATGTAGGTAACAAAATCAGGAAACATTTTAGGTTTTCTTACTCTTAGAGGGTACCTACTCCCAACATTGATTTCAACAACTTCCTCATCATTTCCCGAATCCCCTTCAGCGGATCCTCCAGTTCCAACATCGTCACCATCTTGCTCAATGTCGATATTATCAAGAATGAAGCTCTCCTCTTCTGCCTCAGGATTCCTGCGGGGTTCATCGAGTTTGGCGGTCTGGATGCTTACTATGGTCTCGACTGGTTGTATAGTTTCATCACCATTATTTTCTTCACGCCCATTATGAAATAAGTTTTCAAAAAACTTTACATCTCTAGAATAAATCAATCTACGGGGAGACTTAGGATCGACCAATTTGTAACCTTTGACATCCTCACTGTAACCTACAAAAATGTGAGGAACACTCTTATAGTCCAATTTGGTCATTATCTCCTTAGGCACATGCACATAGCCTATGCACCCGAAAACTCTAAGGTGACTGAGGTCCACTTTCGATCCAGTCCATTTCTCCTGTGGAGTGACTCCAAAAACAGCTTTTGTAGGACTTCGGTTCTTAAGATAAATAGCTGCCTCCACAGCATACTGCCAGTAATCCTTGCTCAAATTTGAGTCACTTAGCATGCTTCTAGCCTTTTCAATAATAGTTCTATTTGCACGCTCTGCTACCCCATTCTGCTCAGGACTATATCGAGTAGTGACCTGGTGCCTTATTCCAAATCTATTACACACTCCTTCTAGTCTCTCATTCATGTAATCCCCGCCTTCATCTGACCTAACAGTTTTTATAGTCTGGTTGGTCAGATTTTCAACTAAAGTCTTAAACTTAAGAAAACAATCAACTACTTCATCCTTTGATTTCAAGAAATAACCAAAGGTCATTCTAGTGAAGTCATCAATAAATATTAGCATGAAGCGATTACCTTGAAGAGACTGAACATTCATAGGCCCACAGACATCAGTATGGATTAACTCTAATTTTGTCTCAGCTCTCTTACTTGGAGTGGTTGGGAAAGATTCTCTGGAGTGTTTCCCCTCCACACATGGAATGCATGGTTCTGGCCTTTGACTAGGAAAATCAACACCCAAAGCCATCCCCTTTTTCAAAACACCCATGCTAACATGATTCAAGTGACCCAACCTTCTGTGCCATAAATTATGAAGGTCCACACTAATTGACTGGTCAACTTGAGTAGACATAGCCAAATTGTCATAATTTGGATCAATGTTGCATTTACTCTCTGTATCCAACCGATACAGTCCGTTTACATTTGTTCCAGTTCCACAAATTTCACCTCTTACTGAAAACCCATCTTTTATGTAAATATTACACCCTTTGTCATCAAAAACTAAAACTTGCCCTTTACTAGCTATTTTGCTGACAGATAGCAAATTTGTAGACAAATTTGGTACATACGTCACATTTGATATCACTCTCTCACCAAAGTTTTTAAGGTTCACAGAAACTTTCCCAGAACCCGCAGAGTAAATTTTGGTATTATTAGTGACAGTGACCTCTTTAACTCCCTCATTCGAGTTAAACGTTTGAAAACTTTCTTTACTTTTAGAAAGATTGTCAGAACAACACGAGTCTAAGTACCAGCTTTTAGGTTCTACCTTTGCATTCAGAGCAGTTATCCAACTTAAATTTTTATTTTTGTTTTGACCATCTGACTTACTAATTTTGGAAATTGACCCTATCTTTGAGCTATTACTAATGTTAGCTTGATTATTTTCAGGACAATCCCTTATCATATGGCCTGCCTTTCTACATTTGTAACAAGTAGGAATAAAAGGCTTCCTCGTCTTTGAGCTTTTATTAGAATTAGCTTGATTAGTATTTGATTTTGATAGGAAAGGCTTCCCAGTACTGCTTTTAAAAGTTGAAAATACTACAGAGGACTCAGCCTCCTTTATATCCTCAGTATCCTTTTCAGCCATGCTATTTAATTTTTCTAGTACTTTACTATATTCTACTTTATCTGTACTCTCGACTGCCATCCTAAATGCCCTGTAAGACTCAGGCAAACCTCTTAGAAGTAGACACGCCTTCATTTCATCGTCTACGGGTTTCTCTATGTCAGCAAGTTGAGCATTGAGGTCAAGAAATTTAGAAATATACTCACTCATGCTGTTGCATACTTCCAACTTCAAATCTAAAAGCTGGTCCAACAGAAATATTCTCCTGTTTGTGCTCTTGACTTCATACTGCTTTGCTAAAATGTCCCAAGCTTCCTTCGCCGATGTGGCCGTCCTGATATGTAGTTTTGGAGCTGCCTCCAGGTGCATGGCAATCTTGGCGAGTGCCCTCTCATCTTTGTCTGGATCCACAGTTAGCGGTGTCGTCTCTGTAGTAGTTCTTCGTGGTTCAATGCAATTCCACAATCCCTCATACTTTAGAGCCATCTTCATGTCAAATTTCCAACTGGCATAGTTGGCTGACCCTTTCAACTTAGAAATTCCAGGTTCTGATGTGGAGTATATAACTTTGTCTCCCATCATAGTAATTAATAAGTGTTCATCCAATGAAATTTACTATAATATTTCTTAAACACTTTCCTCAAAAATTAAACAGTTCAAAATAGGCCACAGAAAACATGTTACAGTAAAAGTGAAACTGGGCCCATAACCACTTGTTTATAATTGATTTTCCTTTATAATAATAGGAGTAAAATGACTACACAGTATGGTTTCTTAAGTCCATAGTGGAAGTGATGTTTATTTACAACAAATTAATAAACATAGCAATCACATGGCATATAATTAACACATGACAGCTGCTTCTAACTTAGTACCAAGAAGGCAATGAGGAACAAGATTATAAATAAATTCCAACAAAATATTCATAGTTTCATAAAAAAATGATATAAACACTGAAAACTACGTATTAGTTTTATGAAACTTTTGCTTGTAGATTTTTTATATGATGTCGCACGATAAAATGTTTTATGTAAAAGTTGAAGTACATAATTTAGGCTTTAAAATGATACATCTTTAGTAACGGTTTGCTTGCGTATAGTCCTTAATATAGACAGTACAGTAAATTGATTTCACCGGGCCAATGAAAACAATATACGTATATTATGGATGTTGTATTTTAATTCAAGGCATTATACAGGGTGGATGTAGTGTGGTTACAGTTGTGGTTTGGGTACAAAGTAAATGAATGTATAATTATAATAATTTCCCCCCTTTTTGTTTCTTCTTACTTTTTTATGTTTATAAATATCTTGCTTCAAATCGGTAGGGGTAAGGTAAACTAACATTTTTTTTCTATTTTATTACTTATAAAAGTACACAACTTGTGATTTTTCTATGAAGAGAATCAATTGCACTTTAATAATAGTAGTGTCATTATAAATTCCAAGTATGGATTAATCTTGGAATTTATAAATCAAGTTTACTTTCAAAAGATTGTTTTTAAAATTTTTATTTTTTTAAGAAAATTTTACTGTGAACATAATGGCGAAAGAATTATTAATTTATTACCTAAGGTTTCCTTTCTATAACAATTAGAGTAAAAGTCTACAAATTCGGTAAAGTTAATTGCCGACTGAGGGTTCTGCAGGCAGCACCCCAATGGGTTAAGAGAAACTTAAAACGCCTAAATTAGGATAGAGTCAACCTTTTGAGGTCGTGTTGCGACATTGGGTTAGGGGAAAAATGTATTCGCTTTCTTTATCTCACCTACTCACCATTACAGATCAAAACACAGTAAAAAGCCTGACAGAATTATAGTGCAGGGGTGAAGAAATAAATTCTTTGATTGTTATTTGTACAAATCTAAATTCAGAATCTAATAAAGACCAAATTATTGACCCTATCTTGGACGAAGCAAATTATGAATAAATAGAATGTGTACTTGAAGT